AGGAAAGGAAAGGAAAGGAAAGGAAAGGAGGTCAAAAAGACTTTTCTTTACATGGTGGAAAAAACATTGTAAGATTTGTTATATAGCCTCCTGCAATATTCTCAGGTGGATAACAGAGAGAAACATACATAAAATACTGATTTTAACATCTTGTCCATTCCAAAAAACAAAGAAAAGTCTCCTTCAGATGACAAAATACAGCATTTTATCTTGCCACAGTATATTTTTGTAAGCAAAGAAAATATATCCAACATTTTTTTTTTTACATCCTAGACACTTCATTTTAATCTACAAATAACGAACTTTTTTTCTAAATAAAGCCCTAACCCTAAAAAGACCACTGACTGAACTCCAATATTTTATCCATGGGAGCTTATTCACTATGGAAAAAAAATTGTTCTTGATAAATTTGTCACATAAAATTGCAATATATTTTTAAAACCATAAATTTGCCTCTCTACAGAACATAGACCTTGACACAAATGAAATACAATGCAATATAAAACTAATCAGTGTGATGTAATGACCTCTCTACCTCTCTCCCCCCTTTCCATTTGTTCTTCTTTTGTTTTTGGTATGAAGATTGATTGATTGATTGATTTATAATTTATAAACTTCTGTACCCCCACAAAAATTTTAAAGAAATGTGTTTAATTTATTGTTAAAATGTTTTTACAAGATCTGTAATATTAAAAAAAAAGTCTCTGATTTGTAAAAGAGGAAAATATTTACTTTTAGTCAGAGAGTGGATCCTGCTTTGGGCTTAGAAACTTCATCAAAATAAAATGAACAGGTAAGAATTTAGCACTGAAATGCTGTGTTGGGTTTGTGTGGGAAGTGTGTTTTTGGTAGTGGGGGAAGGAGCCACCTTGTGAGAAGACTGGCTCCAAGGTGTACCTGTCCCAGCCCAGGCTGAGCCAATTGACAACAGAGAAATGCCTCTGGGAATCCGTATTTGTGAAGGGAAGAACTGTCTTGAAAAGAAGAAGGTGAAGAGAACCTGGAGGAGATACCATTGACCTGAACAAAAGACAACCATTAGACTAAACAAAGAGACAGTTTTGTGTCCAGGAGGAAGGAGGAGGAGGGGAAGGGGAAGGACAGAGAACCTCAGAGACCCAGTTCAACCGTATGGAGCAGGAGAAGGCAAAGGAGGTCCCTTGCAGCCCATGGAAGTTCAACGATGGAGCAGATACCCATGTGTAGACCATGGAGGACTCCACACTGGAGCAGAAAAGCTGAGCCCAAGGTCAAGTGTGACTGAAACTGAGACCCCAAGAGTTGCTCAACACTAGAACGGGGGTGGATCCTCAGAGCCAGTGGGTGAGGTGATGTGCTGGACCGGAGACCCGTCTGCAGCCTGTGGATGTCCCCATGCTGGAGCCAGAAGAAGAGCCCAAAGAGGTCTGTGACTCCATGGGAAGCTCACTTTGGAACTCTTGTTCCTAGACTTTCATGCTGGGAAGAGCAGCAATGGTGAACTGACTGCAACCCACATTCCCTGTGCCTTAAGCGACTATGAGGGAGAAGGTAGAGAAACTGGGAGAAAAGTTATTTGAGCCCAGGAAGAAGGGAGAGGTGAGGAAAAGGTATTGTAAGATATTGTTGTTATTTTACCTTGTGCTACTCGGATGAATGACAGAGAATTAAATTGACTTTTCTTCCCCGAAGTGAGTATGTGTTGCCTGTGACCATAACTGGTGATTGAGCCGTCCCTGTCCTTCATCCTAATCCATGGGGAACGAGGGGAGTGACTGCAGAACCACATGGTCCTACCTGTGGTTAAACCACCGCAAACACACAAAATTCCTCCATTTACAATGGAAACAGTCTACATAACCACTTTAGGGTAACCAATCAACTAAGTGATCCACACAGCATAGATTAATTCAGCACTAAACTGTAGATGGAAACATGGTACTCATGTTGGAAATCTTAACCCTGTGTCAAGCCTCATCCTGCACTTTTGAACATTGCATTTTAAAATTTACACCCTTCAAACTTCAGTGGCTGTTTTCAATAATAAATCTGAGTATTAGTGTTTTTCAGGGTGGTGGAGGTTTTTTGGTTTTGTTTTAGGTTTTTTGTTTGTTTGGGGTTTTTTGTGGATAATCAAAGACTAAGTTTGAGAACTAAAATATGTCAACCCTAGCTTCTTGAAGAAGCCTTATCCTTCTTACTTTAAATGTTTTGGTTTTCCAGAGAGTTCTGACATGAGTCCTGGCATGAACATTATTTCAAAACATAGAAAATAAAAGGCAGTTTCTATTATTTCTAGCTCCTTTTAATAATCATAGAATCATAGAATAGCTTGGGTTGGAAAGGACTTTAAAGATCATCTAGTTCCAGCTCCCCTGCTGTGGACAGAGTTGCCAACAACTAGGTCAGGCTGCCCAGGGCTCCATCCAACCTGGCCTTGGATGCCTCCAGGGATGGGGCATCCTCAGTTTCTTTGGGGAATATGTCCCAGTGCCTCACCACCCTCTGGGTGAAAAAATTCCTCCTAATATCTAACCTAAATCTTCCCTCTCTTAGTTTAAAGCCTCAACAACTGAGTCTTCTTGACTCTTATTAATCCTGAGGTTTTTAGTTTGGTTCTCATTCTCCTGTTTATAAGCTCCCTTCAAGTACTGGAAGGCTGCAATGAGGTCTCCACAGAGCCTTCTCTTCTCCAAGCTAAACAAGCCTAGCTCTCTCCACTTTTCTTCATAAGAGAGGTGCTCCAGTCCTCTGATCATCATCATGGCTCTCCTCTGGACCTGCTCCAACAGCTCTACATCTTTCTTGTGTTGGGGGCTCCAGGCCTGGATGCGATACTCCAGATAGGGCCTTAAAGGACAGAGTAAAGCGGGACAATTACTTCCCTTGCCCTGCAGGCCACCTCTCTTTTGATGCAGCCCAGGATACAGTTGGTTTTCTGGGCTGCAATCACACACTGCTGGTTCATGTCAAGCTTCTTGTCCACCAGGACTCCCAAATCTTTCTCAGCAGGGCTGCTGTCAATGAGTTCTTTTCCCAGTGTATTCACATGCCTGAGACTGCCCCAACCCAGGCGCATAACTTTGCACTTGGTTTTGTTGAACTTCATTAAGTTCTCATTAGCCCACTTTTCAAGCCTGTCCACGTCCCTCTGGATGACATTCCTTCCATCTGTTGTACCAACTGCAACACTCAGTTTAGTATCATCAGCAAACTTGCTGAGGGTGTACTCAATCCCACTATCCAGATCATTGATAAAGATGTTGAAGAGCACTTGTCCCAAGGCTGAGCCCTGGGGTACACTACTTGTCACTGACCTCCACTTGGACATAGAGTCATTCACCACAACCCTCTGGCTGTGACCATCCAACCAATTCTTTATCCACCAAATAGTCCAGCCTTCAAATACATATCTCTCCAATTTAAAAATAAGGATGTGCTGTGGGACCATGTCAAAGACCATGCAGAAATCCAGGTAGATTACATCAGTTGCCCTTCCTTTGTCCACTGATGCCATCTCTCCATCACCGAATGCCACCAGATTGGTCAGGTTATGATCTACCCCTGCTGAAGCCATGTTGGCTGTCTCAGGTCACCTCGTTTTGCATGTGCCTTGCCATAGTTTCCAGGAGGATCTGCTCCATGATCATCCCAGGCACAGAGGTAAGGTTCCCCAACCTGTAGTTCCCCAGGTCTTCCTTTCTCCCTTTCTGGAAATCAGGAGTGATGCTTCCCTTTTTCCAGTCACCAGGGACTTCCTCTGACAACCTTGACTTCAAATATGATGGAGAGTGGCTTGGCAACCACATCAGCCAGTTCCTTCAGGACCCTGGGATGCATGTCATCCAGTCCCATAGGCTTGTACACATTCAGTCCCATGAGGCTGCCTCTGACTTGCTCTGTTCTTACAGTTGGAGGGACTCTGCTCTCCTGACTCCTGCCTAGAGGTTCAGGGACTTGAGAAACATGGGAAGCCTGACTGTCAGTGAAGACTGCAGCAAAGAACTTGTTGGGTACCTCAGCTTTCTCCAGGTCTGTTGAAGCCAGTTCTCCCTTTTCATTTATCAGAGGGGTTACACTCTCTTTGGTCTGTGTTTTCTGCCCAGTGTACCTGAAGAACCCCTTGTTATTTTTCACATCCCTTGTCAAGTTCATTTCCATCTGTGCCTTGATTTTCCTAATCCCACCTCTACCTGCCCAGACAGCATCCCTGTACGCTTCCCAGGCTACACATCCCTGCTTCCATTGCCTGTACATTTCCTTCTTTTCTCTCAGTTTGACCAGCAGGTCTTTGCTGAGCCATGCTGGTTTCCTGCCTCCTCTACTTGATTTTTAATGCTGGGGTACACAGAGCTCTCGTGCTCTCAGGGAGGTGTCCTTAAAGACCTGTTAACTCTGTTCTGTACCCCAAGGACAGTTTCCCGGGAGATCACACCCAATAATTCCTTAAATATCTGGAACTTCACTCTCCTGAAGTTCAGGGTCCTGACTCTGCTCTTTGCTATGCCATATTGCTCAAGATCACAAACTCAACACAGTCCACAGAGAAACCACAGAAGAGATATCTATTCAGATATGCTTTGCATCGCATGGTCTCTCTGAGTTACAGTGTTGCTAGTTCAGCAGTAACTTTAGTTACAACATTTCTAAACACAGATTAATTAATACAATTAATGAACTTGGGAGTAACTATTTTATGGAAGAGTGATCTACATTTACATGGTTACCATTTATTGTTGTATGATCATATCTGAAGGCTCAGACATAGACTCATATATTACTGTAATGTATCTTTATTGTCGGTTCTTTTATGCTGAGTGCCTATTCACTGACTGGATAGTGATACAAAAAAGTGATTTTCATAGTAATTCTAAACACATTTATTTAATTGGAAAACTCTGAACCAAATTATTTTCCATCAGTTGGACAACTTATCTTAATGAATACATCAATTGAAATAAAAGCTATGTGAATATGCAACTAATGTGGAAGTATTATAATGTTGTACAAAATAAATTTGAAATGGGCTGACATGCACAAAGCTTTATTCTTTGAATCTGAAGCTGATAGTGTACATTGCCTTCAAGGTTACCCTAGGGAAATTGAAAGAAGCAGGGACAAAGAGACAGAATGAGTAAGAGGAGAAGGGAAACTATCCCCAGAGACAGCCAGGAAGAAAAATGTAGACCCCCAGTTAAGTGTCTTCTCCAGTGTAACACGATATCTCACAATCACATCAACAACCACAACCACGCTCCTTTTTTTCCCTCAGAAGCCCTATACCTGTCATCAATATCCACTCAAACTTCCTGTTGGTAGTCTTTCTTTGGTGATACTATTGGCACTGATTGAATAGGCTTAATTAGGTGCAAGGATTGCATACTGGATGCTAAGCTTTGTGACTGTTTGTTATTTGGGTAATATTTGTTGGATATAAAAATGTCTGTTACGTGCTTATTATCTGTCTTCTTGTAATATGGAAACAACAGTCAAGAAGGTACCAGATAGGCAGAGGTGGGGGAGACTTTAGTACAGAATTACAGATTAAAACTACAAGTCATCAGTATTAAGAAACAGAAGGGAAACAGGGTGATTAGATTGTAAAAAAAAAAAAAAGAAAAAAAAAGTAACCCCCCCCCCCAAAAAAAACCAAAAAAAAAAAAAAACCCCAACCCAGTTACTTTCTCAAGGAAAACAGAATAACAGTGCTTCAAAATGCACCAGTGCAAGGCAGTGAGGATAAAAGCACTTGGTTTAAAAGCTACCACCAAAGCTTCAGCGTGGCAGTGTGCTGCCTTTGCTGCAAGCAAAAAGCAGACCATAACTGCAAATACCTTTAGTGATATTAAAGCACTTGACCCTGTGCAACAATACATAAAGGACTCCATAGTTCCCATTTTGATCTCCATAAACACAGGCTCGATATTCCACTGAGACAGTCAATGGGTTTTTCATTAAAACCTGTAGTATCTGCAGGAAGATTTAAGTGTGGGCATAAAACAAGTTTGTCGTTCTTCTAGTTCTATCTGCTAGTTCTTGAAGTCTGGAGAAAATGCAATTAGACCATATAGCAAAGCCAATAACTAAGATTTTAGACAGAGTTTTCTTTGAATTTATCAGCCTGAAGCCAGAATAATTTCTAGTCATAATGAGATATTTTTCTCACAAACAATACATGATTTTTTTTAAAGATAAATACTCTAAATATTATAAATGAACAAATTAAAACCTATTTCATCTTTTGGGAATTGTAACAAGGTAATTAATAGTCTTACCTCAAAAAAGATATATAAAAAACCCAGCAGTATCTTTAGAATACAAATATCTCAGCATGAGTAGAAATGAGTTGAAAAAAGTAAGGTCAGAATAGAAACAACATGTTTCTTTCTACCAAAATAACACTTCCCTAGCAGATACTTATTTGCTCTTATTTTTTTTTTTTTTCATTAAAATTATTTCAACAGTTGGGGAAATGCAGGCTTGTACTTTGTTATTAATTCACAATGAGAGAATCAAGAGGAAAGGATTTTCTTGTTCCTTTTCACATTAAAGTTAAGTATAATGTTTCAGCCTAGCAAACTTTTAATTCTAATGGATTTTCTTTCCCTGTAAACAAATGGAATATCTCATTTGCTCAGACAGATCAGAGATGATGCACATACAGCTGTGTGTATCTACTGTGGAGGTATTTGCAACTGAACTTAGCAGCTAAAGCCAATAAACCAGAAGCCAGAATGTTTTGTGGCATCGTCTTTGGCGCTCAGAGAAAAAGATCAGTACAAAGGGACACCCCACACCATTGCCCCTCTGTTTAAGCCACCACTTTGAATTCTTGCCACATCTCTGATTTATAATTACATTCTCTACCCTTTAAATGTGGTTAAGCAGGAAATTGTTTTGGCTGGAATTATATGAGCACATGGTTCTTTCACAATGCTCAGAAGCTGCATCTGGATGATCTGAGTCATATTATTTAGTCTGTGTTATTCCTACAAGAGGTTTTAGAGGTTTAACAGATTTTCTAAAAGGAGAAGGAGGGACAGTGGTCCATTCTTTCATTTGGACATGGTTGATTTTATTAGGTTGTGCCAAAATGATACAATGCATATGGGTTTTATTTTACATTATACTAATATTAGCACAGAAAATAGTTGTTCATAAGGCTATTGCTCCAGCTTTAGTAAAGCCAGATTTGGATTTCTCACTCCATGGTATTTTTACCCCATCTCCTTTTATTAATGATACAGGCATCAGTCTTGCCATTACCATAGACAAAATGGATTAGAAGTAAAAAGCAGCAGAAAAGCACATACACATGCAGCATCATTTGCAGAGCTACAGAAGGAGCATATCTGTGCTCATTCACTTCAGCCAAAATATTTGTCTGATAGGCTGTACTTCCAGTTCTCATAACACCATCTTAAATATATTAAAATCCTGTTGTTAGATCACATATTTGGTTTGTCACTCAACCATGTGGGTTGTGGAGGTAAAGTGCATGGGTTGCCTCTGGATACATTTGTTGTATCTATACATCCAAGGTTGTTTCATTACCCATTTTAGTCCCTAATATTTGAAAGGAACTCCACTTACATAGACAACAGCAGCACATTATAATTAGCATTGTTTAAATTAGGTACAGAAACCCTGAAGGTAGAAAAAATCCTGAAGCTTGAAAGGAATCCTTGGATCATGTTAACTGCTCCCTTAAACTCTGTTTCTAAGATTGTTTTATTTGATCAAGAAATCAGTGGCAGTGTAAGCTAAATAAAACATAGATTAAAACACAAATAATAACCCAGAGATAACAGTCAAATATAAAGCGAATTATTGCATTTTTTTTAATGCAGGAAAATAATTTGGATTATTATGGAATAATTATCAGATATCTTACTGTATAAGTGATCTTATTTCAGAGTAAGTATTACAGTATTCAAGCAGGAGGAAGCTGAAATGGTGATGTTCTCAAATCCCAACAAATTTTTAAAAATTAAAATATACAAATTTTTCAAATTAAACTTCTAAAATCCCAGTGTAAAAACATTTATATAGGAAGTTAGTGTAGTTAGGTGTTATATAACTGATGTCACCAGTTTATTAAAATAGGTTATTGGAAAAAGATGTTTGTCAGTAAGTATTTTGGAGTGCCTGCCTTTTAAATCTCATGTCCTTAATCCATTCAGGACTAATGTCTCTAGATGCTGTTAGTGATGAAGTCTGATGCAGAAAGTAAAACAGGTATGATAATTTAAATCAAAATCTTTTTCTTATACCACAAATATTTCACATTTCTTGCTCTTACTCCAAGTTTGCCATATTCATTGTAAACAGATGCATCAAAGCTTTTCTGCTTCTTCTCAGAGAGTATTGTGTTACATTTCTGAGCTTTTATAAATAGAAAATATTTTCGGACAAATATTTTTAGAAACTTACCAAAGTAGATTACTCTAATGACACTGGTCTTCAATAACACACAGTGATGGATAGCATACTCTTAATATTTCAGCTGAAAAAGTGACACCTTATATGTTTCTTATATCATGTTTTGCAGTCGAAAAATATTTCCATAGCAACATGATTAGAAATAACCTTTGGGACAGTTGTCAGAAATCAGATTATACCATTTATACCAGCTTATACCTGGAGTACTGCGTCCAGTTTTGGAGCCCCCATCACAAGAGAGACTTGGAGCAGCTAGAACAAGTCCAGAGAAGGGCCACCAGGATGATCCGAGGGCTGGAGCACCTCTCCTATGAGGACAGGCTGAAAGAGTTGGGGCTGTTCAGCCTGAAAAAGAGAAGGCTCTGGGGAGACCTTATAGCTGCCTTCCAATACCTGAAGGGACCTACAAGAAAGCTAGGGAGGGACTTTTCATAAGGGCAGGTGGTGACAGAACAAAGGGTAATGGCTTTAAGCTGAAAGAGGGTAGGTTTAGATTAGATATTAGGAAGAAATTCTTCACTGTGAGGGTGGTCAGACACTGGAACATGTTACGCAGAGACGTTGTGGATGCCCCCCCCGGAAGTTTTCAAAGCCAGGTTGGATGAGGTTTTAAGCAACATAATGTAGTGGGGGGTGTCCCTGCCATGGCAGGGGAGTTGGAACCGGATGATCTTTAAGGTCCTATCCAATCCAAACTGTTCTATGATTCTATGATTCTATGATTCTATACATCAAGAAGAATGCGACCAGCAGGTCGAGGAAGCTGATCCTCCCCTCTCCTCTGTCCTGGTGAGGCTGCATCTGGAGTGTTGTGT